ACAACAACCAAAAAAAAAAAAAAACATCAAGTTTTGAGTACAATATATAAGGAACGAAGTCACATAGAATAATAGTTCACCTTCTTTATATTCACTAATAAAAGGAAGCAACTTGACAAATAGATAAAGATTGTTACTTAATCGATCACAACCTTCTTTGCTTTAATCCTTTTGTTGATATTTATATAGAAAATATATGTTGAACAATTTAAGATATTAAATTTTCTTCTATAAAGTTTTTAAAACAGTAAGTTCTGAAGCAAAAATTCAGTTTAACATAAAGGAAATCACAACCATGTTTTTCAATTAAAATTTAACAATAAACAAAATAAAAAAGATTCAGCAAAGCGTAAAAAAGAAGAAGAATAAAAGTGAAAAACGAAATAGTTTTAGAATGAAAACTATATTCTGCAACGGATTAAGAAAGAGATTGTGAATTTGAGTACAGATGAGCAAGTAGTAGATCAACAAATAATATCCCACGTTTACCTAAACTCTTTGTTGACAGGGATGAAATTAGAAGTAGGTTCAATCTATATATTAGCAAAAAGAAAATTTGATACAAATCATGCTAACATAGTTGTATAGAACATTGTTATATCACAACACTTGATATTTTTAGTTAAAATAGAACCGCAACATTGAACATCAACATCAATAACATTGAACACCAATATTTTTTTTTTCTTGCACACATATTAACTACCGTTCTATTATGCTCAGTTTCATAAAATAATCTTCTCACAAGACGATCATTAATCAAAAGAGAAAAATACGATCATTATGTCCTAAAGTTGCTACGTGGCAATTTATGCATGCGACACGTGGCAAAATCTCATGGTTGACTTCTTTCCTTTTAAGTAAATATAGATTACAATCCAAAACATCTGCACGCGGATTTTTTAGAGGTAATTTTCGTCTCTTTTATTATCATATTTTATAGATTATATTTGGCTCTCTAACACAGCCCAAAAAAGGCTACTGACAATCTTTAATTTTGTGCAAATTGGCTGATAATTCGTCCACATCTTTATGGGTTATTGACAAAGATTTACAATAAAAATCTATTACTTTTATAGCCCGTTTGGCCAAGCTGATAGTGTATTTTTTCAAAAGTGTTTTTTTCAAAAGTATTTTCGGCGAGAAGCAGTTTGTGTTTGGCTAATTAGTTTGAAAATCACTTCTGAGCAGCAATTAGTATTTGGCCAAGCTTTAAAAAAACTGCTTCTAAGTGTATTTTTCTCAAAAGTGTTTCGCAAAAAAGTGTTTTTGGATAGAAGCTAATTTTTTCTGTTTCTCCAAAATTGCTTCTGTTTCTCCTCAAAAGCACCTTTTTTTCTTCCAAAAGATTGGCCAAACACCTCAATTTTTGGCTAAATGTGCTTTTGAAAAAAAAACACTTTTAGCCAAAAAGAAGCTTGGCCAAACAAGCTATTATTCTTGTAGTTATCCCACAGAAGTTAGGTGGTGTTTGACCCAAATTTATTATGCTTTTTTTGTAAAAATTTTAAAATAATAGAAGTTATGACCTATTTGATTGATAAAACAATTATAAAAAAAATTAATTAAAGAAAGACCTTTGGGGGAAACCAAAACTAAAACTTGCAGGCCCAGTTTGGAAAAAAAAGAACCAGCAACTTCAATTTTCGAAAGAAACTTTTATAGAAGACGTTTCCAAAACTGTTAAAGAAATATAATAAAAGCAGGTATAAATTTATAAATTTTTGTAAAGTAACTCCGGCATTTGCTCACTACTCTATTTATCTATACTATAATTACAACATTTATTATACCCTTTAATATTTTAAGTCAATTCTTACAAGGCTTGACATAATTGATAAACAGTTTGTGATGAAAAAGCAGTAGTAAAAATGGGAGATATAGAAAAGTTGAAGATGCAATAGTAGTTATATTTAACCAGGAAATGTGACGGCCTTAAATTAAAGGTCACATGCTAGCTACGTTCTAAGGATTTTGTGCTATCCTCCATGTCCATGGACCACCCCTTCAACTGTTACTAATATTTAGAGCCCGTTTAGCCAGGCTGCCAAAAATCACTTATTTTGAAAAGCGCTTTTATTCAAAAGTACTTTTGCAAAATAAGTAGTTTGTGTTTGGCCAATTCGTTTGAGTAATGCTTTTTGCAAGCTCATTGTGTTTGGCCAATTTTTTTAAAAAAGCACTTTTAAGTATCAAATTACGAAAAAGGACAATAAAGGTTCAATTTGCGATTAGTATTATTTAGAAAAGAAAAATAAATTTAAACATTTTTTAGAAAAGAATTCCATTAAAATATAAAACGTAAAGTAAAAATATAAATTAAAAATTCTCAATAATATAATATAGTTATTCCAAAACAATAATATTGAAAGTTTCGTATTACTTATTATTTTTATATAATAATTTAAATATGTCAAAGATACATCATTCAATATAAAGTTAAAACTACTCTTAGGAATAGGAGAAAGAGAATAAAAATGTAATTAAAAAAAAGAGAATAAATCTATAACATAAATAAAATAAAAGGAAAAGGAAGAGGAAAAGGAAAAGGAAAAGAAAAATTAAATTAATGAGGGATAATTTGAAAAATATAAATTTACTGTAAGGTTATTTTTGTCTTGAATAAATTAACTTTCTGCTTCTGTTTTTGCTTTTTGAAAGAAGCTAGACTTTTTAGCTTCTCCCCAAAAGCAGAAAAATTGCTTCTGCTGCTGCTCAAAAGTACTTTTTCATTTTGGCGAAACACCTTAAATTTTTCANCTTTTTGGAAGAAGCTAGAATTTTTAGCTTCTTCCCAGAAGCAGAGCTGCTGCTGAAAAGTACTTTTTATTTTGGCCAAACACCTTAAATTTTTCAAAAAGTGCTTTTTGACCAATTTTTTTTCTTCCAAAAAGTGCTTTTTGACCAAAAAAGTACTTTTGGCCTCCTACATGCTTGACCAAAGAGGCTCTTAGCCAAAGATTATTGCCACTGCTAGATTTTAATGTCATAGCCGGAGGGGGGAAAAGCTATTGTATTATATGTACATTATGCCCCTTTATAATTTTAAAATTAAAAAAGGACCCTTTTAGATTTCTTCAATGTAAAAGACAAATCTCTTACGTGTAATTATAAATCTTCCATATATAAAAAAAGAGGTAAAGTCATAAAATTAAAAATAAATTCGTAAAGAGTCACAAAACCAATTGACCCGAAAAAAGAAGAAAGAGAAAAAATAGGTGCACTAATAACAAGTATATATACACATATGTTACATTAACTATTAGGTGCACTTATTATTACGTGCGAGGCACGTACATAGAGATTAGTATTATTATAAAAGCATTAATACAATGTTGGTAGACGAAAATAGCCTAAAATAACCCTTCAAATATACATTCTATGTTGGACAACAATGTAATTTTAATATGCTTCTTTTTCATTCACTAATAGCCTGTTTGGCCAAGCTTCTCAAGACAAAAAAGTACTTTTTTTCCCAAAAGTATTTTTTTTCCCCCTAATTTGAGGTGTTTGGCCAAGCTTATTTGGGAAAAAAAGTGCTTTTGGGAAGAAGCAGAAGCAGTTTCAGAGAAGCAGAAAAAAGTAGCTTCTTTCCAAAAGTAGAAGCAGAAGCAGTTTTGGCTTTTCTTCTTACCTAAAATACCCTTAAAAAATATAGTATATACCAAAATAACCCTTAAACCTAATACTTAGGATATTAATTTATAAATATTTCTTCTTATTTTTAGGAAACTTCTAATATATAGTGACTTTAGGGGTGAATGCTTTTATATTTGTTGAAGAAATTTTAATATATTTAACTTATATTAAAAGAATTAAGTACTTTTTAATTTTATTTTCATATTTTACTTAAATAAAATGAATTTTTTTTTAATTATTGCATGTAAGAACAAAATTTTGATATTATTTATTTACTTATAATATTAATTATTAAGTAAATCTATTCATGTTCTTATTCGTAATTTGACACTTAAAAGCAATTTCTAAAAAGCTTGGCCAAACACAAATTATTTCTCAAAAGTGCTTTTCAGACTGATTAGCCAAACACAAACTGATTCTCTCCAAAAGTACTTTTTTCAAAAG